AATGATAGCCTTACCTTATTTGTTCAAATTAATTCTTTCATTCACCTTCTTTACTACCTTTCAGTACCTTCATAATTCACTATGCAAACGCAATGTCTTTCACTGACATTCTGTTTAATAATACCACAAGTTTCCTTAATTACAAAACTCTCTTATTAAAAATTACAAAAAGCGAATTATTTCTCATTTCAAAATAGAACTACTATATTTTTGCACAAACATTACCTTTATCCATTCAAGCCACCCCTTAACCTGTAACTGACGTAGCGATAGGAAAGGAGATTCTTATCATATGCTCTTTCGACATTTGAGGTTTCTAGAACTTCTTTGACAAGTATATCAATACCATCAGAAAATATACTTAACACTTTTACCCAGTTTAAAGGCAACATACTGTTATAAGAATGGTTTTAGTTAAATTTATAACACAAATAAACGCATTTTGTGCTAAATAGGCATAAACATTTAGATTCAGAATATTTCTTTTTTAATCCGATGTAAGACTTGAATTTCATTCATGATACGGATTGTCTCTTGATTTTCTTTTTGTTTACCTTACACTAATAGAAAATTTTTATTTTACAAGTTCAGCTTTTAATGAAATAGAAATAAAAACTACGATACACCTGCTGTTTTTAAGAAAAGGAACTTTGATATATTTCTGGAAATGTAAATGCTTTTAGAGTTTTCTTTCAATAACGTTGATTTTCATTACTTTACTAACTTCAATAATTCTCTTATTAGCTAATATGAATGAAAGAAGATTGTCAAAAATGTGACACAGTATAATTCTTACGAACATATGTACCTTTACCAGCATACAGATATTACCGATTGAAATGAAGAAAGATACAGATATTTTACTCCAATCTACATTAAATTAAAAAAAAAATATTTAAACTTTCATACATTCCAAAGAATAAACGAAAACTCAATAGATATTGTCATGTTTGTATATATGAGATAAAAGTTTTATGAATGGTATTTAAAGTAATGCTTAGAACTTCATAAAAGCGAACATTCACTATGTTAATACACATATCATCAGTTATTTACATTAATCAATGTAATATTAATCATTACATGTACTATATGCATATATATTTAAAGTTTAATTGTCTTACAATTGAATAATTAACTATTGAGAGAAAGAGGTTCATATCTTACACTATTTAATTCACATGGAACAAATTTTTCCATCAACCACATTGAACCACGTTTATTAAATTCGCCAAAGCTCTTTTATTTCTGCATTTTCACACTCACGACACATTTTAAATGTAACTATTGATTACCATTTCAAACACCGATATCATAACTCAGTGTAAAACTACATCATAACTCATTTTTTCCCTACTAACTACAATTTTATATATTCAAGAAGTACATCTAAGACATGATCATTTTCTATGTTCTAGCAAATCGATTCAATTGCGAACATACTATTAAGACTTGCGATTTTAGAAGACTTGCATGTATTAACGATGTCAACGTTTCTTCGTTTTTGTAAGATTCGTATCAAACCATGTCGCATTCGAATGTGGTGTAAGAGATCACTTTTTCTTTTAAACACTTGTAAACAATGGATGCAATTTATAAGAAGAGAAGTATCATGCTGTTTCAAAACATCATCATCAGCATATTTCTGTTTCTTTTGACACCAGCAAAATTTAAAAAAAAAAAAAAAAAAAAAGGTTTCGTGAGATTTTCTTCAAATTCTGTTTTTACTTGAAAAAAATGTCCGAACATTCAATACGATGTAAAGATTCATATTGTTTTAAATTCTTATGCTCACTAAATATTTTTTATCACGATTTACTCTTAAAAGTAACTTTATAAGTTTTCATATCCTTTTTACATGAAAAGAACTTGTGATTATTCACTACAAAATTCTAAGACGAGAAGCTTCGCGACTTTTCAAACTACAAACTTAAATTTCTTAGGACATACACTACATCTGATGTTTCTTTCATGAGATTTCAAATATCTCTTCAGATTACTCGTATTCAAGAAACCTTACAAATATATCACATAAGTTCAGCGAATAATCGCTTCATAAACTCTTAAATTTTCAACACGAGTGAATCACTTGAAGCATATACTGCACTGTAAACATACAATACTTAAAAAAATTGTTATAAAAAATAAAAATACATTCATTTCACCAAGAAGCTTTTCTATTTAAATACATTTATTTATTTCCAAAGAACAAGTTTCTGTATTATACATAAAATATACTTAGAATTTTCTTTCATTAGTTAATATCAAATTAACAACAATATCCATTTACTGATATTTGATATACATGTTTGCTTTAAAATTAAAACTAAAATTTCAATATATTTCTATTAAAAAAACATAATGAAAAAAAAAATACTCATAACATCAACCAAAGACAGAAATTTAAATAGAATAGCTGTACTTATATTAGTGCATTTTTATAATCTTCATAACATTTCGATTCAAAAAACCTATTACAAAATAAATGAAACATTTTTTTCTGCCTTAAAGAATCTCTTATATTTTTAAAATTAATACATAAAAATATATCTTCACCAATATATTTAATTCTGTCCTCAACACTTATTATAATGCAATCATGTCTTGTTTGTGAAGGATGATTTACAATGCAACCTTCGCATTTATATAGCTTTTTTATCACTGAATTTAATTCAGTTTTGATAGAGTTTATGAGTTCTTTAAAAAGTTCATCATCATCACTTACCATATCCGAACAATTGTTTTTACATTTGATTTGCAACGGTAAAATAATTTCAAAAATACTTTTATATAAAGTATTAGATACATCAGGAATAATTTCTTTCAATTTTTTTAAAATATCACAGTTTACTTTTAGGTATGTAGGTTTTAGTTTAAAAGAATTTTCATCTTGTTTAAAAACTTGTTGAAAAATACACTCACCTTCTTTGTTGAAAACTACCAACTCATTATTGCAAATGATGCTGGCACTCGTATAGACAAGATTAAATTCATATATTTTTGAGGAAAATTCTTGCCATGTTGCAGGAGTTATAACAACACCGCGTGTAGTAGGGTATAATATTTTATTTTGTTCCACACATTCACGTAGATGAATGTTCATTCTGTTTTCAAACTGATTTATGGACACAAAATATCCCCAACCAAGAGTCCACTGTGCAATCAACTTCGAACTTTCTTTTTTCTGTTCTCGATTATTCGGCATGAAGATATTTTCAGGAACAGACTTCATATAGTGGGCAAACCAGTCATCCTCTGGAAGTTCATCCTCATTATCTTCCAAGCGTCGTTTTTTAATTTTCGAAATTTTTATGTTTCGGAATGTGATACTAATTCTAGGATCTTTAACGTCAGGTTGAGAGGGTATTCCGTGCATCCAAAATTGATTCGTTGGGGTGTTTCATTACAAGGAGAGTTCCATGAGTTAAGTCCACGCTTCGAGATGTGAAATTTCGCCTGGTAAATACCATTTGACGTTTTGCACCTAAACTGATGATAGGTATATCACTTTCAGGTTCGAGACAAGTTTCATTGTCTTTATGCGTTGAAATTTTCGCCACTCCGTCAGGATAATAGTTCAATAAAGCAAAATTATATTTTTTGCCAGTTATCGTTTCAACATAATCTTTTACATTTAGAAGAGTTTGAGTCCATGGTTCTGCACAAATGCTCGTTCCAGAGAATTCGTAACTAAGTCCTTCATCACCAAAACCGAGTACTTTTCTTCGTGGAACATACTGAGTCCCATTAATTTCAAAACTAATATTTTTAAAATCATAATTTGATAGTTCATCTAGCAAAATATCAGCTTCATTTCGTGAATAAAATTCTTCGTATAATTCCACATTTAACTCTGTATCACATATATTCCTCATATTCGCTTTTGAATCTAACGACAATTCTGAATGATATAGAAATACGTAGCATTCTTAAATAGCAAAAATTATCTAAAACATACATTAACGAAATGATTTCATCAACACTTATCGTAATACATTCTTGTCTTGTCTTGTTTGGTGAAGGACAGTCTTTCCGGCGTCATATGTGTAAAAATAATCATGATAGGATAGTGGGAAAGAGTTATAGTGTCCTAATGTTGTTATTCTGAAGTTTCGATATTACATATATGCATAAGGGAATCTTAAAAGCATCATCCACTTATCATGATAGAGTAATGGAAAATTTCTAAAACTCTGATAATCATATGTGAAAGAATGTATTATCTTAAGGTTGTTGTTGCTATTCCAAGTTTGACAATACATACAGAAGTGAAGGAAGATCCTTGATAAGCGTTGTAGACTTCACGTTATGATAAGGGTTAATGGAAGTTGAAATCGTATTCGAAAGAAAGGGTTATCATAATGTTGTTGTTGTCCTGGTTCAGATTATACAAATCTGAAATGTTTCGAGAACATTCTTTAATCCCTATAAAAGGTGTTTCAGAAATGGAAAAAGTCAGTTCTCTTCTCAACCTTGAAAAGAGCAAGTCTTCCTGATTTGATTCACAGAGCTTAATATTTTTTTGCGATGGCTTTTGAACAAGATCACCAATCTGTTTCTTCCAACGTAAGTATTAGAACTGTTATATATTATTTTAATTATTATTTTTTTTTCAGACTAGATGAACTTTTAAAATGAATTATAATCAATCTATTTTTTAATGCACGATTTATATGTTTGCTTCAAGTATGATTTGAATTAAATAGCCTGCTTTTTACATAGTTTAGAGTTCAAAAAAAATTTTTTTTAAAGCATTTGTAAGAGTCTGAAGGAAATCAGTCGAGTTTGTATATCGTTGCATGATATTTTTAATGCATGAATGAACTATTTTTTATGAGAAGATGCTTTTATTTTGAATCTTTATTTTAAAAGTATATTTATTATAAGATAATGAATGAAGTATCAAATACTGTTAAACATTAATCATTTTTGAATATTCTAAAAAAATATTTTTTATTAACACAGTTTTTTTCTCTTTTTTTTTTTTTTTTTTTTCTTAGTTTATCGACTTTGGAATTCAGGAGGAGGAATTCAACTCTCTAACTTCTGAAAGAATGGAACCTCAACCAAGTACAAGAGAGGTAATTTTTTTTTTTTCTTTTTAATAGTGACTTGCAGATATAGTTATTTATTCAATGGTTCTCTTTCCCTTCAGTCGTTGTTGTATAATGTGTGATTATTAGGAAAAAAAAAGTAGTGAGAGAGAGATTTTTAAACTAAACTAAAATTCTTTAAACGTAAAGAGTTAATACTAAATGATTTCTAAAATGAATTATGTAATTATTAATTAATTTTTTTTTTAGTGAGGGATAATTAAAAATGAGTAATTTTATAATGAGGAAAGCATGCATATTGAAAGCCGCTTTTCTATCTTTCACAGGTTTGCGACATATGTGGTAAAAGTTTTAGCAATAAAAGTAATTTAGTTCGTCATTCGAAAACACATGAGGGAAAAATCTTTCACTGTGAAGAATGTCAGGCTCAGTTTACGAGAGCAGATAGTTTACGAAGACACATACAAAATATTCATGTTAAAAAAAATACCTTTTCATGTGAAAAATGCAACGACGTGTTTACAAAACATGACTAATGAAACATTTCAAATATCATGAAAAATGCAAAAAAAAATGACAACATGTTTAAACAAAACATGATGAAACATGAAAACAACATGTACTCAACATACATGTTCAACATGGTACTGTTCAAAGGAAAAGTAATATAAGTAATAACCCCATCCATTAAACAAGCGAATGAAGCATGCAGCGTCGGCCTTAAACGTCTTCAGTTCTTTTACAATTATCGCCACCAAAGAAATTAATCAAGATCTAGAAATATTTTTAAATAATATCAAATTAAATATTATGTCGAAACTCGAGGAAGAAATCAATGAGAAAAAGGCTTTAAAATGGTACATTATAGTAACAGCACAGTTCTCTAGAATAGGACATGATGGGGACGAAGAGGTTATTAAAATTAACCACATTTTAGATCTACCTGCCTCACAAGTTTAACAATAGAGAATGTTGAAGAACAATTGAATGAGGCCTATAACAAGATAAAAAAATCGTTTGAAGAATTTTTACAAAATGGCTCGGGATGGACATTAGATAAAATTGAAAAATTAGAACTCTGCACAGCTCGATATCATCCCTTAGCCGCTAGTAGTTATATACCTCTTCCCAAAGAACTTGCCATGAAAAAAGCCATTTTAAACATTCAAAATGAGGATCAAAAATGTTTAGTGTGGTGCTTACTTGCACACAAATATGATCTTTCTAGAGAAAATAAATGCAAACCGAGTAAATCATTATAAACCCTATGAACATGAAATAAAATTAGGAAATATTGAATGCCCTGTTCCTATTACAAAAATACCATCTATTGAAAAACTAAATAATCTTAGAATAAATGTATTTGGATATGAAGAAAAAGAAGTCTTTCCCCTCTACATTTCAAACAGAAAAGAAACTGATTGTATTAATTTACTTTTAATCAGTGATGACACTAAACAACATTATTGCTTAATAAGAAATATGTCCCGGTTATTAGGTAATCTCACAAAACATCGATGCAAGCACATGTTCTATTGCATGAGATGCTTGCATAGATTCACCCGTGAAAACCTGTTAGAAGAACATGCAAAATACTGTCAACATCAAAACATACAGAGAATTAAAATGCCATCAGAAGAAGAAAAAATATTAGAATATACCAATTATCAATATGAAGAGTCTATTCCGTACATTATTTATGCTGATTTTGAAGCTTTAATTGAAAACATAGACACTTGTACACCTGATGTAGCTACTGCGTCTTTTACAGAAAAAATACATCATCATAAAGCTTGCGGATATGCTTACATAATTGTAGGACCTGATGGGAAAAGCGTTAAACCTGTAACAGTATATAGAGGTCCAAATGCAGTAGACCATTTTATACAAAATATTTTACGTGAAGAAGAGGAAATAGCCGAAAAATTATATAGTATTGTACCTCTTTCCATGACATCTCAAGATGAACAAAATTTTAAAAATGCAACTCATTGCTACTTATGCAAAAAAAATTTGAATAATGATCGTGTAAAAGATCACGATCATCTTACGGGAAAGTATAGAGGAGCTCTGCACAATAAGTGCAATTTGAAATTTAAACTTCAAAAGAAAATTCCTGTCGTATTTCATAATTTAAAACACTATGATGCACATTTAATCATGCAAGGCATCGGCAAAATTCAAAACAGGGAGTTTCATGTTATACCTAATAATATGGAAAAATATATTTCTTTCAGTATTAAAAGAAAATGGAATAATCTAAGAATATCTTTAATTTTTATTGATAGTTTACAGTTTATGAACGCGTCTTTGGAAAAACTTGTATCTAACTTGCCTGAAGAAAAATTTAAGATTTTAAAAGAAAATTTTCCCAATGATCAAAACATAAAATTATTATTACGGAAGGGAATATATCCATATGAATACATCAACTCTTTTGATAAATTTAAAGATACTCAGTTACCATCCATAGAGAACTTTCGAAGTACTTTAACTGGTGAAAGTATATCTTCGGATGATTACATTCATGCTCAAACTGTTTGGCAAGCTTTTCATATTCAAAATTTAGGTGAATATCATGATTTATACGTAAAAAGTGATGTTTTACAATTAGCAGATGTGTTTGAAAATTTTAGACAGCTTTGTAAAACTTACTATAGTTTAGATTGTGCGCATTTGATGACTGCACCTGGATTAGCTTGGCAAGCCTGCTTAAAAATGACTGATCAAGCTTTGGAATTATTAACGGATGTTAATATGCATTTATTTATAGAGCAGGGCATTCGTGGAGGTGTGTCCATGATTACCCAGCGTAAGTCTGTAGCAAATAATAAATATCTGAAAAATTTTGATTCAACTAAAGAAAGTAAATATATCTTATACCTTGATGCAAACAATCTCTACGGGTGGGCTATGAGTCAACCCTTACCCTATGGAAGTTTTGAGTGGGTTGAACCTCATAAGAATGTCATAGAAAAGATTTTGACTTTATCAGAAGACAGTTTGGATGGATACATCTTGGAAGTAGACCTTGAATATCCCAAAGAACTTCATAATGCTCATAACGATTATCCCTTAGCTCCAGAAAAAATGAAAATAATAGCTAATCATCTTTCACCTTATGCAGTCAGTGTACTGAAAAATAATAAATTTATCTCGAATACTAAATTAGTTCCTAATTTAAATCCTAAATTTAATTATGTCATCTATCATAAAAATTTACAGTTATATCTCTCTTTAGGTATGAAATTAATGCATGTTCACAAAATTATAAAATTTAAACAAAAAGCTTGGTTACAACCTTATATACAGTTTAATACAGATCAACGTAAAAATGCACAGACAGGATATGAGAAAGATTTTTTTAAACTAATGAACAATAGTGTGTACGGTAAAACTATGGAAAACGTGAGGAAACATGTTGATGTCCAATTAGTCAATACAGAAAAAAGAGCGAAAAAATTGGTAGCTGCACCAACCTTTCATAATTTCAGAATTTTTGATAATGATTTGGTTGGAGTACAAAGGTTGAAAAACTGTGTTAGTTTAAACAGGCCCATATATGTAGGATTTGTCATACTAGAACTTAGTAAATATCATATGTACAATTTTCATTACAATCATATCAAAAAACAATATGGAGAAAGAGCCAAGCTACTTTTTACTGACACAGACTCTCTCACGTACGAAATTTTAACAGAAGATGTATATCGAGATATGAGTTTTCATACGCATCTGTACGATATGTCAGATTATCCGAAGACTCATGCTTTATACAATATCAATAATAAAAAGAAAATTGGATGCTTCAAAGATGAAATGAATTCCGAACCAATACTGGAGTTTATAGGACTGAGGGCGAAAATGTACTCTCTACTGTTGGATGAAAGTGAGAAGAAAACCGCGAAAGGAGTTAAACGAAGTGTTATTAAAAGGAAACTTAAACATAAAAATTATAGAGATTGTTTAGAGAAATCTATCTTCACCAGAGAATTACAATATAATATTCAGAGTAAGAACCATCATCTTTTTACCATGGCTATAAATAAAATCGCACTTTCAGCTTTTGATGATAAAAGATATATTTTAAAGGATGGAGTGCACTCCTTAGCCTATGGGCATATCAATATAAATAATGTTTAATGGAAAACAAAATGGATTATTTTTAAAGTGGTCAATGACTTCACAGTGGAGTTATGGGAAGGGGCTGGCACCTGGGTATTCAAAAAAACCCCATGACTGTGAAACTGTGAAGAGAGACCCTCAGGTGTCAGAAAGCTGAGGCTTTCGATAAAAGCCCATGTGTGTGTGTGTGTGTGTGTGTGTGTGTGAAATTTTAATGAGTATTATGTTATTCTTTCCAATATTTTTAACAGTTATTTCTTTCCAGAAAAGCAGATATTTTGTTTCAGGGTTCGATCCTATATTTTGAATCATAGAACATTTAAAAAAAAAAGAAACTTCTAAAATAGATTATTTTCTTTTTTTTTTCGTCCCTAGAGGACGCCATAAGCAATTCCTAAATACATTATTTTCTTTTTTCGTCCCTAGAGGACGCCATGACTCCGTTGCCAATTTTAAAAAACTAACTTTAAATGAAAAGCAGGAGGTCTACAACTCAATCAGTAGTCTACGAACAACTCAACTCCACTCGAAACCACGCCTCCTAGTGTGATGACGTTGCCTTTGGCCCCGCCCTCTGTGATGTCATTGACCACCCCCCCTGACCCTCGAACCCCTTTTCTGCTTGCTCACTTTTACTAAATAATATTTTTAAACCTGCTTTTTACAATTTTAAAATACGTTGAAAAAGAGGACCCAATTCAAAGTAAAATCATGTTTTTTTTTTTTTTTTTTTTTTTTTTTTTTTTTTTTTTTTTTTTTTTTTTTTTTTCCCTCAACGTTTTTTCCAACAATCTGCTAGCCGAATTACGCTTACTAGAACTTTTATGGAACAAAATGCTTAATCATGACGAAGATTAAGTGCGAAATTGGGAAAGTGCAGAATTGAAACTGCTTGCCGCGTT